CATTGTTTTCTGGTTGCATGGCAATCACTATCAAATCAAGGTTGATTAAAGGAGCTCTGGCTCCCATTAGTGTCAAATGGATGTGTAGAGAGAATTGGCTGAAGAAGTTGAACTAAGGTAGCCTATATAAGACGGCAAAGTCTTATCAGTGGACCTGTCATCCAGAATAGTTGTATGTAGCTGAAGTGGAATTGAAGTACCTCATTGATAGAGAGCATTTGGATTTCCTTGTCTGACCTGTTTATTTATTTATATCCTGATTTTCTTATTTTTACAAGTAACTCAAGGCAGCAAGAACCTGTTAAACACATCTTTCTCCTGTTTTCTCCACAACAACCCTGTGAGGTGAGGTGGGTTGAGAGTGGGTTACTGGCTGAAGGTCATCCAGTTGGCTTTCATGAGTAAGGCAGGATCTGAACTCACGGTATCCCACTTTCTCCCTAACTACTAGACCAAACTGTGCTTTTGTTCATATTTGTCCTTTGAGGGTATCTTTAGACAGAATGGGATAAGTATTAAGAAAAAAGGCAATGAAGAGCTTCAGAAGCAACATATTGGGACAATGTTCACTCACAGGACAGCTCTCAGTGTAAAATAAAAGAACTGAGGAAGATAAATTTCTTGATGTCAGAGAATATTCAAGCAAGGAGGGCCTTGTTGCCAATGTTAGTGCTCTGCCAGTAGTCAGTAATGGTGCTATTCAAAATTTGCAGGTACAGCTTATAAAATGTTTACAATATCTGAAAACCCCTAAAATCTTAGTTGTAGTTTTTGGATTCTCTAATTAGGCTGGGGGCGGGGGGGTTGTCTAAAAATTAAGTGGCATTTTGGAGAATGATTGTTAATTCGGGCATAGTCTGATATTGAAGTCTCCTGAAATGATATGGGCACTGGAAAAGTATAATTGAATGCCCCAATGTAATTTTTCACTTTTCCCCAATTTCAAAAGCACATGGTCAAGGGATGTTTGGAAATATATAGAAGTTAATGAGAAGCAATTTCTCTCCAGTAAAGTTGAGAATAGTTGTTTGTGTAAGGTTGTAAGATGGGTCTATTGACATAATCTTAGTATTTAGTGTCTCCCTCAACCAATGCTAGGAACTGCTGAGAGGGATAATGATATATACCACAAATAAAGAGATAATTTATTGACCAAACAGAATGATTTAGAGGTCTGACTATTTTACGTGTTGCCACTTGAGGTTCTCTCAAATTGTCCAGTCTTCAATAATATTAGCTTGTTCTCAATCTGGAGAAGTATTAAAAGAGTTAATTATATCCCCTCCTCCCCAACTTAAACTATGCACGGTCTTGCTGTAGGTAAAACAGAATTTTGCATGGGCGGTAATCTCTTTGGGGAGGGGTGGGAGAGAGCTGAAATGTCCTTGCGGTTATTTGAAGTTGAGTGGTCACATTTATTCTTTAAAATGGCTGAGGAGTGGGCCAAGTTCCTCTGAAAACAACACATTTTAGAGAGACTGAAAAAGTATGAAGACAAGACATCTTGGGAATCGTGATCTGCGTAAAGGTAAGTAAAACTTGCTCTCAGCTTCTGCTAGATGGAAACCCCTCAGCCTGGTGTAAATTAATCAATTACTTTTCACAGCATGTAACTGGCTTAAAGATAAGATAACTGCTCTTTGTTCCCCAGTGAACTTTTTATTCTACTATTTAACTAATTTCTGTAATATAATTTGTTTAGGCTCTGGATGGTATTACAATTTACATTTTTCTCTCTTTTGGTTTCATGCTCACTGGAGACTTGTTTCTCATTCTTTCCCACAGGAATAATCAGTTCTCCGATTGTTCCTTTCTCTTTTCCTTGGGGTAAGTTGCCCATGTTTTCCCTCCTGGCTCCTTTTTGGAACACTTGGGACAGAAAATCTGCGCTTTAGCAGGGTTGTTTTACAAAAATATCTTTTAAGATATCCACTTTTATTTTAACTGTGGACAACAAGTCAAATACAGAAAGCATTGTTTTGTCCAGTTAGAAAGTTAGTTACACTTTCATTCTTGTAAGTTTATCAGGTTAATATCCACATCCTCATCCTGTAATAACTGTGCAGCTGCAGAGCAGATTGCAGCATGTATTCAGAGGGGGGAGTTCTCTCCATTCAGGAGGAGAGATCTTTAAGCTGTTGACTTTCGAACTCTGCTTGTAAATCCCACTCTAAAATATCATATCCAATGGAAGGGTTTGAGGGAGTAAGAATACTTACACGAGTTGGCTTCCTTTTCTTTTTGGCTTTCTGCTGTTTTTTGGGCTTGGATACAGCTTGTGCAGCAGAATGTGTAGGATGTCTCTTCTTACTTTTCCCCATGATGGTTAGGAATGTCCTGGAGTTTTCTCAGCTCTTTCTAAGTGCTGAGGCTTCCAATAAGGCAGTGGAAGGTGGTATTTTAAACAATAATTTTAAAGTACCATGATAAAATGAAATATAGTGGTAAGAAATAAAACCATAATGATAAAGAAATACTTTTCCGGAGGAGCTATTTACAGTGACTGCTGCCTCTCCGCCATCTTAGCTCCTCCTCCTCCTCCTCTTCCTCCCCCTCCTCCTCCAATTGCCTCTCTATATTTGGGGTGGAAACCAAATTAAAATCCCGTAGCATAGAAAAAATATTTCAATTGAGCAATGAAGTAAGGCAAAAAAATCAAAGGAGAATTAATTTTATTTATTTGCTGGTAAAAATCTCTAAAATATTTAGTTAAGCTTAATTGGGAAAGATATTGTAAACAAAAAAGCCCTTCTTTTTAGTCATTTACTACTTTTTTAACAGTCATATGGTAAGAGTTCAAATAGACAGTGAGCCAATAGTATCTATATCCAGAGAAAAATATTATGTGATTAGTTTGTTCAACTATTCAATAGAGGCAGCAATAAAATATATATCTTAACACTTCTTAAATATCACCTCTCCTATTGATTTATTATGATCAATTGTTGTTTATTATGATCTATAACCTATTACTTGCTCTTTATATGTACACTGTGAGCTTATGTACCAGAGACAAACTGCTTCTGTATTCAATCACACTCGGCCAGTAAGAATTCTATGATTCTATAATTTATCTCTAGAGACAGATAGATCATATGGGACCTGCAGATTATCTTATTAAAAATAAATGAAACCAAAATCACTCTCTTTCACATGAACTTGCCCGTACAATTCAAGTCCATCAAAGAGATCAGTCTAAAAGCTTCTCAAAAACCCATGCAGAAAGTGATTGAAAGAGGAAGATCACATTGACCTTTTTCTGAGATACCTCCTAAATTCTGTAAATGTTACAGGATTAGAATGCTCAGCATTAGAAATTTCTTCTGCTCAATAATGCTATCTACTGGTTGACTTTTCTTGATCTAAAGAATGAAAATCATGCAAGCAATAGAAAATTTTCAATAATAAATTATTAGCAAGATGCTAAATTTTCTGAGGCTGCAGCACTAGTAAAATGATACAGGTAGTCCCCAGCTCATGACGAATTGAGCCCAAAATTTATGTTGCTAAGTGAAACATTTCTTAAGCAAATGTTGCCACATTTTATGACCTTTCTTGCCAAAATTGTTAAGTGAATCACTGCAGTTACTAAATTAGTAACACAGTTGTTAAGTGAATCTGGTTTTCCCATTGACTTTGCTTGTTGGAAGGTCACAAATGGGATCACATGACACCATCATAAATATGAATCAGTTGCCAAGCGTCTGAATTTTGATCATGGGGATCCTGCAATTGTTGTAAGAATGAAAAATGATTATCAATCACATTATTTAGTGCCATTGAAACTTCGAACGGTCACTAAATCAACTGTTTTAAGTTGAGGACTACCTGTACTTAGGTGAACTATAGACTTAACACAACAGCAGGAAGAATACAGTGCATTGTATTGCATTGCATTATGACTGACAATTTAATCTACAGTATGGGGACATGATAAATATCGTTTATCTCAAATACGTTTCAAATTTAATTAATTTCAAAAACAAGTTTCTTTGATAAACACAAAGTAAAGTATTTCTAAATGAATAAATTTAAAATTCTTGCCCTAATATCTGGTGTCAAGTATATGCTTCTGTTCTAGTGAGGTTTTTCTTTAAAGTATTCTAAAATGATGCAGACAAATGCATAAATCATTACTCAAGAAGACTAGTTTACAAATACAGGTGAAAATTAAATCTGCAAACTTCATTTACATGTATCTCACAATTCCACCAATCCACTGATCCCAAAGATAGCTACAAACAATAGGTTTCTTAAGCCTAGATTTAATTGTAGCTTTTCATTTTTCAGATTATTTATTTTATAATTGTTTCCTCAGTGTGTGCATCACAAATCTGAATATTTTTATTCAATAATTTTATCTTATATTGTTTATTATTTGTCTCATTTTAACTAAAGACTGAAAACTTTATATACAGTGTATATATACAGTGTTTTCTGCTTTTATCTAACAGTTATAAAACAAATTTTACTACACAAAACATCTACTTCTCAGCCTTTAGAAATAAATACAAGATAAAAGTAAGATATTAAGAAAAAACATGCCCATTATTAGCAATACACATGCTTTCGCTTAGCACATTATAAAGACAGTATCTGGTTTCTGGTTTCCAAAGATGTGTTGCCACAGCATTTTACAATATATTTATATTTATGATTTTTTTAGAAATATATCAACATTAAATTCATTTTAATTAAAAGTATAACCTCTGTAAAGACTAAAAATAAAAATATTTCTAAAATTAAACTTTAAACATCAGATCAAATGGAATGATGTCCTAAGATGGAGACTGAATTCTATACAGATGGAAATGTCAAATCTTTATTCTTTAAAAAGGTCAACTGACAGGATTCCAAAACATCTTGGTACTGATCTCAGGCAGAGTTTAATCTTACTGGTGATAGGATCCATAAAATGTGACACCAGCATTCCTCTGTGGGGCTAAAATGAAATTAGGAATCAAAATTTGCAAAATAAAGAATAATGCTTCCATACTTACGGTCGTGGGGGCTGGGGTGGGTGGTGGAGCATAAGATGGCCTTTCTGTTTTAAAAAGAAGGGTGGGGGGAAATGACTATGTAGAAGTACTGTAACACAGGGACTTCAAATTGTGAAGTTTCGAACAACAAATCAAAATATGAATGAAAAGCCTATGCAACTCTACAACATAGTTCACACATTATTACAGGAACGCCCAAGCTATGGATTTCAAGTTCATATGCAATTCTTGAACTTCAGAGACATGAATGAAACAAACAAGTTCAATAATATCAAAAAATGCAGCACCCTTATTCTATGTCCTGTTAGTCTCCTAGTTAGACCTTAGACTTATCCAGCTTGGTCCTTTTTTATGTGATCGGACATCTTTAGTCTTTACACATGATTTATTTTCCCTTGCTCTGTGAGGGACATATTGTGCTTTTGAGACAGAATAGTTCTAAACCTGTCCTTATTCTTCATTTAACAAACAGCAAAATTTTAATGTGCAAAGAATTTTGCACATGTGCTTGCCCATAGCAACAAAAGTAATGTTCAAACTTTTATTTTGCAAAAGCACTCATAGCATTCTTAAACTTCAAGAAAGACTGCAAAAAAAAAAAAGATTGGGTAGTTAAATCTAGAATTAATTAAATGGCGGTCAGCTTCAAGGTCCACATAAAGGAATCCCAACACAATACAGAAAAGGGATGGCATGGATATAACAGCGTTTAGAGATGAATAAATCTGAGATCTATTTTGATGTCTAGAGTCAACCCATTATATTGGTTTGAATCCAGACTTTAATATGCATACAATAGATCAAATGAAAACCAATAACTTGAAATAACGACTTTACATTTGACTCCATACTAGTTATTTATTACCAATTGCCTTTGGCAAGATGGATGCCATACAAGTTTGATAAATAAAAATAATCTCAAAATATAATACTTGAAGTCATACAATATACAGGTAGTCCTTGACATTCAACCAAAATTGAGCCCAAAATTTCCATTGTTAAATAATAGTTAAGTGAATTTTGCCTCATTTTATGATCTTTCTTGCTACAATTGTTAAGTAAACTACTGCAGTTGTTAAGTGAATCTGGCTTTCCCATTGATTTGGCTTATCAGAAGGTGACGTGTAACCTTGGGATACTGTTACCATGATAAACATACAGTAGTTGCCAAGTGGTTGAATTTTTATTATGTGACCATGGGAGCTGTGTGAAAAATGATGTCACTTTTTTCAGTGCTGTTGTAACTTAGAACAGTCACTAAATGAATGGTTGTAAGTTGAGGACTACCTATATTAATAAAAAAACCAAAGAAGCCACATTGCAGTGTATTGTGATATTTCAACACAAATGTGTTAAATGGAGCTTATTTTTATACAGGTTTGTCCACAGGTATAACCTATGCTGAGCTACTGAACAATAACTTCTCTATCTCTATCATAAACTAAGAAAAAATACAACGTAACTTACTTGACATTTTGGTGGATAAAAGTTTCAACCACAGGAAATTAGATCTGAAAAACAGTAATAACAAAATGCTGTAAAATAAAGTCTATCATTGATCCAGTTCATTAACAACTCCTACAGTTAAAACACATAAATTGAAGATAATACATAAACAGAAACACTCCTTCACTGAGTTATAATTTTAAACAACGGTAAACTTATTTGTAGTTCCTGAGCTCTGAAATATATGAATAATTTACAACCAAGAGTTATTACCAAAGAAATACATCAAAAATCTTATTTCTCAGAAAATTAGGAGCATCATATAAAAATTAACATGACATAATATTACTAATGTACAAGCCCTGCTTGTAGTCTACAATTCAATTTTTTATCACTACTATGATAAGACTAATTTGGATCACAGAAGTATTCTATTAGGTATTTTTAGTCATTTTGTATATATTAAAAATGGAGATATGGAAATATACAAATAGCACAATAAGGGGCAAAATCAATTGTATTTTATATCTATCATTATCCATAAGTCATCTCTCTTTTATTCTCTTGGTCATTCTGTTTCTCTATTTAGATAAAGAAATATCTCTGAAACAATGACCCACTGGGTCATGGGTTGTCTAGTGGAATATTAGAACATAGTTGAAAATCTCCAAAGATGGAATACCCCAATTAGTTGAGACAAGCTATACCACTGATTAACTGGTTTCATTGTCAAGAAATATATTGTAATAAGTTTCCACCCATTACTTCTTGTTCTGTCTTCTGCTGCTTTGCAGAACAAGTCATTTCCTTCTTCTCTAAGTTTGCCTCTCAAGTACTGGAAGCAGAGGTGATATTCAGCAAGTTCTGACCAGTTCTGGAGAATTGGTAGCGGAAATTTTGAGTAGTTCGGAGAACAGGCAGATACCACCTCTGACTGTCCCCACCACCACAATCTATTCTCTGCCTCCCGAGTCCTAGCTGATCAGCTGGGTCTTCTTTTGTTGCCCTGCACAGAGAACGGAGCTGGAAATCAAGTTAGTGGAGTGGGGAGGATTGAAGATTTTGCAGTATCCTTCCCCTGCCACACCCATTAAGCCATGCCATGCTCACCAATCCACACCCACAGAACCGGTAGTAAAATTTTTTGAATCCCACCACTGACTGGAAGGCAGTTATATGTCCCTCCAATCTTTCTTTGATTTATTGAATTTATCTGCTATTCATCTTAGTAAATGACTCTGTTGCTTTTATCTGCACACTTTCTTAGCATCTTTTTGTATTGTGTCCAAAACTGGCTGCAGTATTCCAAGTATAACCTCATTGGTGTGTTATAAAGTGATATTATCAATTCTCATGATCTCAATGCTGTCTCTCAGTTAAAGCAGCCCAGGACTGCATTGTCTTTTTTGGTGGCTGAAACACACTGCTGGTCCAAACTTCCATTAAGACATCTAGATCTTTCTCAGTTACTACTGTTGAGCCAAGTATCACCAAGTGCTACCATTAAAAATCCAGTTTGTTGAAATCATTCTGATATGATTGAGTTCACAGAAACTGTTCCATGAAAAATACTAGATAACAAAAATCCACAATACTAAAGAATGATGAAAAGGGAATTATTTCTAAATAAAAACAAAACAATAAAGAAAAAATGATTGATACATAAAAACAACTGTTTTTAAACAATGAATTGCTTACCCCTAAGAACACAGATTTATACTAATGGGAAGCATGAGAAAGTATGCATGATATAGGTGAAAATAAAATGCATTTAGGAGAATAACTTTTGATAAGAAAAGAAAGATATATAGTTATAAAGCATAATTAAAAGAAAAAATGTACAGTGATTGTTATGGAAACAAAAGGCATTTGGAAATAAGTGAAAAAGGCTAAACTAGAAGCCTTCAACACGATGAAATTAAAAATAATGAAATTATTTGGGTTGAAACTGAAATTAGGGGGATACTGAAAGAAGTGTTTACTACTTACTGCATGAAAAATAAAAAAGATACAACAGTACCTTTACAATCATGAGGAATGTAGCCAGGACAGTACTTGGCTACAGTGGAATCAATAATCAAATATTATTTAGATTTTATGATGTTGATGAATTTTAGGGTAAAGTTCAAACTGAAATTGATAGAACATGCAAATTATATGTGCTGCTTGTTACTGGTAGAACAACATATCAATTTCCACCAATCCAACGATTTCTTCACTGCTAACAGTTTTTCAATGATAGAAATAATGCCTATGTAAATGGAAATCAACAAATGGAGCACAAAAAAATTAAATCATATTATTGGCACAAGGAGATTGTAGAGCTTTGTTACAAAGTAATGATGTGGCCAGGAGAACTATGAATCTGCTCATATGCACGTTTCAAATCAAACATATGCACGTCCTCATATGCACATTTCAAATCAAAGTGAAAGAAATCCACCAGTTTCCATGATATAATCTTGAGTATACTTCATTGTCAAGCAACACATTAGGAGCTTTGTCCTGAATTTCACTGATAGGGAACCAGAGGAAATGTAGTAATCAATTAAATAAATTCTTAAGGGCAAACGTAAAAAATGACTGAAAAGATCAAGAAACAAAACAAACTGGATATCCAAGCAAAGGGTGAAACTGCCAGAAAGCCAAAGCCAAGAAATATAATGATCACAGGAAGTAATACATAATTTCAGAGAGCTGTTAGAATAGACATGATTCAGTATTACAATGACATCTGTAAAAACACTGAAGATAGATATGGACAATGTTCCAAAAGATTTTCAACTAAGAGAATCAGCTTTGAATGTTTAGGATGCCCACAATCAGAATGTGGGGCATCCTGAACATTTCACCAAAGATAAAAAAAGAGCTTACTGAAATTGGTCAAAGTAGAAATGTCAGCAACTAAAGTATCTTAGAAAAATATTACCTATTTATAAAACCTCTAACACTAAAAGATGAAGATCAGTCAGATCTGGTTATTACCTAGTCAAAAAGCTATAGGAATTGAAGGAATATCTACAGAAATATGGCAAACACCTGAAGAATATGCAAAGGTTCTAACCGAGCAATGCCAAAAAAATCTGAAGAATGACACAATAATCAATTGACTGGAAGAGATTATATACCAATATCAAAGAAAGAAGTTTTAGCAAATTGTGCTCACTACCACACAGTATCTTAAATTTCACATGCTATTAAAATATTGCTTGGAATAATCCAACGTAGATTAAAATCATTCATGAAAAGGAATATGGTTTTAAAAAAGGTTCAGGAAGAAACATGAGTATAGTATTACATTTGGAGGAAGGAGCTTCAATACTCTATATTATGCTAATAACATTACTGTGATAGATAGAAATGCAAATGAACTGCAAACTCTAATAATGAAAATCAGAATAAAAATAGGCTGTTAGAATTTTAGATAATGGTGATGGTGCAGATGGAACTGAAGAAAGGTGAAAATGCTGATACCATTTGCTTATGGAGAAGATGTGCAACTTGTTTAGTAACTGTGTGAACACTACATTATTACCTGATTATTGGAAGAATGAAATGATAACAAGAATGAATGTGAAATCTAATGTTAATATTTTGATAAGTGTGCCTGGGTAGATTGTCAGAATGCTTTAGGTGACAAGTTCAGTGTAATTTCAGAAGGTATCAATGTCAGAAAGGAGCATAAGTTCACATATTTTTTAAAAAAAGTATATGATAATGGTAATACATTTGAACTATGGAATAATTTTCAATTTTTATTAATGTATTTGAAGGTTGGTTTATTTATGTGATAGAAATGGTTAGCAAATCGTTCAACACTAAACAGAGAGTAAAAAGAAAGGACATATGATGTCTTTGTTTAAAATGCATATGATATTATAAGTTTTATTATTTAATTTGGATGCTGCCCAATTCCATCAACTCTACTGAATATAAGTACATATATGTACATACTTTTCTACGCCGATGATGCTACATTATTTATTAAGAAACTCAATAAACTACAGCAAAATATATTAAGGAACATGTGTGAAAAATCTATATTTTGCTAAAACTCCTGCTCCTATCTTTAACTTGGCAAAACACTGCAGCCATAGGGCAACAATTTTTGAACCAAGATATTTCAAATGGACTAATTAACAGAAAATGTTCAAAATATGGGACCCAGATTCCCATGGAACTGAAATTTTGTGAAATCTTTTATAACATGAAAGTTATGACAAAACAATGTATAACATAAAATGTCATAAAGTATTTCCTATGCTATACAGTTCAACATGGGTTATTTTCATGACAAATATATCTCTGGATGTATCCCAAGTTTTCCACTGAAGGAAGTCTATTAGAAATTCTGTCATTGTCATTTGAACGCATTACCCAATGGATCATGGATTGTCTAGTTAATCTATCAAAGGCAAAACAATGTTGCGTTTAACTAGGAAAATGGACTGAACAACTGCAATGGCAACAAAACCTAATGCATTTGTGTACTTTGAATGTTTTCTAAAGATGGAAAATGCAGGGAGACATTTTAATATGCGTACAATATAGAAACAGGGTAATTATATGTTACGGTTGTGTATATGACTATGCTTTAACTTGTTTTGTTATACACAAGTGGGACTTAGACGTATAAGTAGAAATTAAGCATAGTGGAAATGTGGGGTTCTTAAGAAATCTGTGTGCTACAATAAGAGGACATAGTATAAGGAATACATGTGCTGAATGATGGAGGGCTGTGAATAATAAATAGAGTGTAAGACGGTTTGTTCCTCTAGAGAAAAAAATAACATACACAACACAAACTAAAGGAAACAGAGTAAATAAGTCATGAGAAAAAGAAAGACCATGAAAATTGTGATTGAACTTGATAAGATTTTCAAAGAGAGGGAAGTGATAAGCAGACAAAAGGTTTATGTATGAAGTTGTATATACTGATGTAGTAGAAAAGGAGATGGTTGATGTAAACTAGTTTTAGCAATATTCCTTTTTCAGTTTCTTTTTACATTATTTCTGCTCCATGCATAGTGTGTTTTAGTCTGAAAGAAACAGCATGATGTGGGTATATAGTATTTCCCTCCAATTCCATTAGTCTTAAGAATAAAATAAATGCTTGTTCACTGCTTTTTTTCCTTTCTTCTTTTGTTTTTTAGTATTTACATGCTACTCATGGCAAGAATCTGGCCTATTAGATTTCATAAATTATGAATTTGGATGACACTAAATCTTCCTTAACATGATACACCAAATCTACTTTTTTAAAAAAATATACTAATTAGTAAACCTACCTATGTTTACACACTGTAATATCTAGACATACAGAATACATTAAATAACAACCAAGCCAACTATATTTTGGCTTAAGGTGAGGTGTGAACCCAATCTACATCATATGCTTTTATAAATTTTATAGTTTAAAATACCATAAAAAAGTAAAAGGAATATAGCAGAAATAAGATTTGATGGACTTCAATTCTAGTTACATTTCATCTTCATTGTTTTTATTCTTTACAGATGCAACCTGTTGAAACCTCCATGTGTATCCCGATTCCTTTTGGCTTACTGGCATAGGATAAAAACAGGTAAGTCTTAAGCTTTTCAATCAGCTTAAAGGTACCCAAGATACATTTTGCTCCATCTCTACTATAGCTATAACTAAAACATCATATTGTCAACGAGGAACCAGAGAGATAATGGTTTGCAGGTCCCGCTTATGACCTCTGATCTGAATCAATGCCGTAAGAAGCAAAAAATAAAAGTTAAGTCCAAAAGTACGTATTAAGCTTATTATATCTCTCTCCAAAAGTTAAACGCTCTACTCGTCGCTTTTACAGAAAACAACAAAATCTTGCTCCTTTCCCACCACCACCATGTTCGGCCTTGCATTTGTTCTTCATCTCGGCTGACAGAATGACGTAGAATAAGAAGATACATCTTCAAACGATTACTGCAGTCGTTAAGTGGGGCATGGGCAGATAGGCGCCTCGCGCCGTCTCTTTAAAGCCAGACCGAAGCCGGCCTTCTGCAGACTCACCAGCTTCTCGTTAGATCTCACGACCTCTTTCTCTCCCTTTCTCTCAGACCCAAAAGGAGCCAGGTACATACAGATCGCAGTTTCCATTTCCGCTTCGGCATATTCCACAGAATTCTTCCAATCTGCAGGTTGCATCAATCCTTCGAGCTATTTTAAAAAAAAATGTTACACACACACGCACACAGTAAAAAGAGTTGGATTTTTCGGGTAACGTCCTGCCCCTTTTTTGTAAAGGGTCTGGATTCGTATCCCTGCGAAACTGCGAACCCCAATCTGCAGGCGGGCACATCTTTGCAGGAAAAAGAGGAGCAGGAGAAACGCCTCTGAGCTTTGTTAGTTCACGTGGAGGCGAGATGACGTTAGTGAGGGAAAAAAATTTAAATCTCCGGAAGTCTACTTGCTATGTACCCGTTGTTCTCCGTGGTTAACAGCAGCTGTAGACCCTATCGACTAAGATGAATTACACCAAAAGTATAATACAACATTTATAACATGCATCTTAAAAATGGTTAAGTAAAATAAACTTAAGCAACAATAACAAACTGATATATTATCCTCCTTTGGTTATCAAAAACCGTTCAACTTACAGGTAGTTCCTCGATGTACAAGAGTTCCCTTAGTGACCAAAACTTACAACGGAACTGAAAAAAGTGACTTATGACCATTTTTCACACTTAATGACCATCGCAGCATCCTAATGGTCATGTGATTTACATTAGGATACTTGGTAACTGGTTCATATTTATGATGGTTGCAGTGTCCTGTAGTTATGTGATCACCTTTTGTAACCTGACAAGCAAAGTCAATGGGGAAGCCAGATTCACTTAACAACTGTGTTACTAATTTAACAACTGCAGTGATTCACTTAACTGTGGCAAGAAAAGTCATAAACTTCGGGGGCAAAACTCAGTTAACAAATTTCTCACTTACCAACATAAATTTTGGGCTCAATTGTAGTCGTAGGTTGAGGACTACCTGTATAGAAATTACAGAATGTGGAGTAGCCGGTTTCACAATCTGGATGCATCCACTGAAAAGTGGCATCTATAAAACAGTCCCATTCACCTGTCCCCTCCGTGAAAGAATTGAAACAGAATTCTGTGGACTGGATATGGAAAGTTTTGGCTGTGAATTCAAATTAGTCCTACCTCCCTTTCTGGTTTACAATATTGACAATAAGTGACACACACACACACACACACACACACACACACACACACAGAGAGAGATGGAGGGAGGGGAGAGGGGGAGAGAGAGGGAAAGACAAAGAGAATGAATGGAGCTGCATAAACAGGCTGAAGAACAGATTCTACCCTGGGCTGTCAGACTCTTGAAGAATTTAAGGCAGTGGCCTCTAAACTTTTGGGCACCAAGAACCAGTTGTGTAGAGAGAGGTATTTTGCAGACCAGAGGGAGTGTGGTTTCACATGCTGCCAGCATCCTGTGGATGGGGCTCCACTTGTTTGCGTGGACTGGTTTCTGGCATGGCATGGACTATAGTTGGTCCACGGACAAGGGATGGGGACCCCTGATTTAAGGAATTAAATCTGGTGGACATAGTGCTATTTTTCTGAAAGCTGTGACTAACTTAGACAGCATATTAAAAAGCAGAGACGTGACTTTGCTGACAAAGATCTTCTTTTTCCTAGCATATTCCCGCAGGTGCAGGATCCGCTTTTCAGATCATTGAATGCCACTTTGCATGGTCAGTTGCATCTTCAGGGCGCAGGCCTGCAGCTTGAATATCTTTGTTGATGGTGTCTTGCCTGTTTTGGAGGCCTGAAAGATCGCCGGCCATTGAATTCTAGTTGGTAGGCAGTCTTGACCACGGTGGAAGATGCTGCTCTCTGGATATGTCCATACCAGTGGAGTCGGCCTTCTCTCATCTTCTCTATAATTGGTGTCACATCAAAATGTTGTTGAATGGGGTCATTTATGATGTGGTCAAGAAGGGAGATGCTGATATCCATCTGAACATTTGCATTTCTGTGACATAGAGATAGCTTTCAGTCCCTGTTGTTGCTGTCTAGCATTCAATGCCATACAATGCAACAGGGAGGAAGGTTGTCTTGTAAATCTTAGTTTTAAGACGAGTTGTCATTCATCTGTCACATAATATATCCTGAGTTCTCACCAATCATCCAGGCTGCAATCAAATCAAATCAAATCAACCTTTATTATCAGAGTATAATATGTGTACAATGAGATTGGCTGAGTCTCCCTTCATGCACCCCCAAACACAACTCACATTGAAGACAAAAAAGAAAAATCCCTAACCCAGTGAACCCTACTAACAAATATACTATCTTATTGCACCATGTGAACTTATTGCACAATGCGCCGGCCCCATAAATCTATCATACTATGTTGACAAGAGGTTATTTTCCATTCAGGACTCGGACAGGCCACAGGTAGAAACTGTTCTTCAGCCTGTTTGTGCAGCTGGCTATGCTTCTATATCTCTTACCTGATGGTAGGAGAGTGAAGAAGTGCTGACCAGGGTATGAGTCGTCCCTGAGAATTCACACTTGCTCACACCCCACAATTGGTGTTGCCATTGACTTGGAGATGAGATCCCAGATATCAGAAAACATCCACCTTCTTTAGTTTTTTTCCACTGATTTGAAGGGTTCCAGGGATGGTACCCAGTCTTTAAGTACTCAGCTTTCTTGGTGTTGAGGCAGAGTCCAAAATGGTTGAGGTGATCGTTCCATGTTTGAACTTGCTCTTGTAATTCATTTCTGGTGGTGGAAGCAAGCATAACATCATCTGCATAAAGCATAGTCCAGGATGCATTCTGATGCAGATCATGCGTGATGGTGTCCTTGACCAATATAAACAAAAATGGTGACAGTACAGAGAACTTGGTGCACCCCAACTGTCCAGTGGTGGGATTACAGTTTTTTTACTACCAGTTCTGTGGGCATGGTTTGTTGGGTGTGGCATGGCTTGGTGGCTGTGGCAGGGGAAGGATACTGTAAAGTCTCCATTCCCACCCTACTCTAGGGGAAGGATACTGTAAAATCCCCATTCCCTCCCCACTCCTGGGGGAAGGTTACTACAAAATCTCATTCCCTCCCCACTCCGCTAACCTGCTTTCCAGCTCCATTCTTCTGTACAGGGCAACAAAAGAAGACCCCGCCGATCTGCTGGGACTTGGGAGGCAGAGAATAGATGGGGGTGGGGCCAGTCAGAGGTGGTATTTGCTGGTTCTCCGAACTACTCAAAATTTCCACTACCAATTCTCCGGAACTGGTCAGAACTTGCTGAACACCACCTCTGCAACCATAACTTGGAATCTATTGGAGAGGCTGGCTGGGCATCACACTTGGCTGCTGGTATTCTTATTTAGCATTTTGACTCAGTCAATGAGTGGTTCAGGTACTCTGTGATCCCAGAAGGCACACTACATCAGATGTTGTGGAACACAATCAAATGCCTTCTCTACTCATTGTCATGTCCAGGGACTTTCAAGTTCTCCACTCTGTCTACAGCATTGTTGACTTCTTCCTCAGTTGTGAGTGGAATGGGTCCATGGGTTGGTCTTTTGGAATTGGTGGATGTAGGAATTCAATGTTGGAGATCTCATTGAAATGATCCTACCATAGTTGCAAGATCTCTTGTTTGTCTTGGAGTTGTTTGCCATCCTTGTCCTTCATGCACATGTAATGCTCGATGTCTTGTGCAGCCTTCTTCTGTGCTTTGGCCAATTGGTAAATGTCTTTCTCCCCTTCCCTTGTCTCCAGGCGGTCATATAGGTCTTGATAGTGTTCTGCCCTGGTTTCAGCAACCACTCTCTTGGCTGCTCTCTTGGTAGTTACATAGTTCTGTAGATTCTCTTTGGTCTTATCTGCCTGCCATTTCTTGAAAGTTTGCTTCTTTTCTTGTACTTTCTCCTGCACTTGTTCAGTGCACAACTGAACTTTTATACAGTGAGCTGATTTTGTGACACTGAGAATTTCTCTGGCAGTGGTGATGACAGAGTTACAGAGTGTTGACCAGATGATGTTACTTGTAGCAACACTGATAGGTAGGAATACAATTTTCCTGGTCACTTGCTTCTTTGTGGTGCTGCAATTTCCACCATTTCATCCTCTTGGGGCCTGTGGTGCTGTTCATTTTCTTATAGCCTTTTTAATTTTTAGATCTGTAACAAGTGATTTGTTTTGGGGGCAAGAACATCAGAGGGGATAGCCTTGGTGTTGCATGGGAAGGTCTTGTCTTCTCAAGAGAATAAAATATGACTGCTATTTCTGCCATTGGTGAAAGTAATGAGCTGGTCTGGATTTTTCTTGAAACATGTGTTACAGATTATGAAATCATTTGCTTCTGCAAAGTCCAGGATTTGAAATCTATCTTCATTGTGGTTTCCATAACCTTTGTTTCCCAATGGCATTGGTAGCCATCCCGATATCTCCCCACACAACCATTCAAGTCACAGCAGAGGAGCAGCAGATCTTTTTCAGGACAGGCACAGATTTTAATCTGCAGTTCATTCCAGAACTGATCTTTGGTGTCTTCATCAAGTTCTGTTTGTGGGGCATAATCAGAAAATACCTGAAGTCATTGAGGGGTGTGTATTAATAGTGACAGACATGACATGGTCAGAGTGTTTCTGGACTTCAGGCACATGGCTGCATAGATCTTTGCTCACAACAACAGCAACACCATAGTTATAGGAAGTGCCTTGGTAAACCAACTTGTAATCTTCTTCAGTGTCTCTCGATTTCTGTCCCTTCCATCTGGTCTCCTGAAGACATGCTATGTTAATATGGTGGTGTTTCAGGATTTTGGCTAACTCGTGGTTACATGCAGTCAGTGTTCCTATATTGAGAGTGGCGATGTGCAGTGGTTTAGGCTTCTTTTGAGCTAGCTTCTTTAACTGGTCCCACTCCGGAAGCTGTAGCTCTTGTCCATTTTTCATGTTGTTTGGATGGGACCTGTGCTCATCCCCTGAGGGGGATGCTCTAAAGGCTTCATTTGTTGTAACAAAATTTTCAACAGGCCTGTTGCCCAGGCCTGATTTGTGATCTGAGCATTTGGCAAATGGTTCACTCTTATGGTGTTTGCAGCATCCTGCGCTCACCTGATTGC